TTTTTTTTTTTTTTTTGTTGGGTTGGTTTTTTTGGGGTGACTCATTACATCCAATAATGTTTTACTGACATTTTCATAAATAGTTTTCTCACCAGGTGTCTCTACAAATTTCTTGCTGTAATTCCTCACTCTCTGGGGCTGCCTCTTCATTTTCCCTGAGCTGTTTTTTTTTTTTTGCAAGGAATTGGGCTGAACATCCCAATTTTCCTTCAGAACACGACACAAATCACCATTTGTGCAGTGCTCGAGAGCGCTACCGTGAATTTAAACCAGGAGGAAACCCCTTTCTTTGAATTCCCTTTGATCTCAGCATCAATATTCCTGTTTATGACAACATTTTCTGATCTGATTCCATGGCAGAGAGCTTTTAGCTCAGCGTGAGCGTGGATAAATCAGCATCCTGCCAGTGTGTGAGCTTGGGGTAGGGCTCTATTCCCAATCCTGGTGTTATATTGGGCAAAAACCCAGCTGGGGGAAAAAAAAAAAAAAAATCAGTGTTTTCCCTATGGAACAGCCTTGTTAAATGTGAGGATGAAACCAAGTGGGTGTAACTGATCCCCCACTAAAGCTCAGAGGGATTTGTTTAATGGTTAAGATTTTCCTCCTGAGATTGTAGCAGGGCTGGGAGCTTTTCCAGCTGTTTGTTAACATAAATACCCTCCTTATTTCCATTTTCTGGCTCGGAATAGGCACGGGACTGGTTGGATGAAATCCTCTTTGGGGTTTGTTTGCCTGGTTCCCCAGGGACAGGAGGGCAAAGCCACCCCCAGGACCAGCCCAGGGGATTCAGGAGATCTTTGTGCCAGCTTGTCCAAGAGAATCAATCTGTTCCAGTGGGTGACAGCTAAATCCCTCTCAGGGGGACAAGGATAGACCCCAGGGAGAAATCCCCTTTTCCTGCCTGGCAGAAATCCTGTGCACGCCCTGAGGGGAAAAACAAATGTGCAGCAATACTGAAAGCAGCAGAAAACAAGAAAAAAAAAATAAAAAAAGAGCTGTCCTGAAGCTGTCCCCATTCCCCCTTTGTTATCTCCTAAACTTTGCTTGTTTATAGCCACACCAGACATCCCACAAGAAATTACAGGAAAAAATGGATAAAACCAGGATCAAGCCCTGGCTGTCGTGCTGTGAAATGGTAATCACTGATTCACAGGGGTACTCTGTGCTTTATCTGGGAGTGAGATGCTGCTTTGGTGCTCAAAGACTGCAAGACAAGAGGAATTTTGGGGGTTTTTTTGCTAGGTAAAACTTTTTACTGAGGCATCACCTTGATCTCACGTGGGGCTGCTCCCAAAAAATGATGTGGCTGCAGATATCCAAGAGAAGCAGCTGCCAACACCAAGTTACAGCTCTGGATTTGGAGTAGCTCTGGATTTAACTGGCACACAACTTACGGGCACGGATTTTTGGGGTAAAGCTCCCATTTTCCCCCTCCTTTGGAATCTCTGGGCAGTCATCCCTCACAGGCAGCTTGGAAAAAACACTCCCAGAGGAGCCAGAGCAGCATCACAGAATTCTCATCACATTCCTTGGGCAGCTTAGGAGACACCTGAGGCCACCAAGCTGGCACAGGAGTCACAGGACTCCTTCCTCTTCCTCAGGTGTCCAGGATCATTCATTAACAAAACATCCTCAGCACCTGGTTTGCCAGCAGGGCTTTGCTGGAGATAAATTGAGCTGTGAAACTCCAGCCTAGCTCATAAATCTGTGGATTGTGAGAATGAATGTATTTATCTGAGGGTTTCTTGTAGGGCTCATCTCCTCTGTGGTGGGGCTGAGCAGAGAACAGGTCTCACACACTGGCAGTGAGATCAAACCACCCTGGGGGTGTTTGCTTCCATTGCTTCCATCTTGCTTTGCTGAGCTTGGGGTCTCAGCTTCCCACCTGTGCAGCTGAGAGGACAAAAAACGTGTCCCCCTGCTCAAAGAGCTTCCTAGTGGGAAATGCCACACAGCAATTGCTGCCTGTCTAATCAAGGGCTTCCTCACCCTTTTAGAACCAGCAGGGAAGGCTCTGAAAAGCCAGGATAACCTCTTTATCCCAGGGGTGGTGAAAATGAACTTTGCACTCCTGAATGATGGGGTTTGAATGTGGGCTCCTCGTGAAACAGCCTTGAAATGTCTCTGTGACCCCCAGAGCACAAACACCACCAGAGAAGAGCTGTACCCTCTTCCTGCCCCACAGATGGGGCAACTGAGGGGTGTTCTAAAAACTGCTATTCCATTTTCAGTCTCATGAGAAGGGTGAGACAATACAGGCGTTGCAATTCACGCCATCGCAATCAGAAGCCAACTATTTTAAAAGTACATTATAAGCTTAATTACATTATAATTATAATTACATATAAATATTATAAAATTATTATTACATTATGAGTTTCTTGGCCTAACAGCTTTTTGCTACACCATGCTGTAGATTAAAGCCAATTATCTAAAACTACCCCCCATGGGTCCCACTACAATGCATTTTTCATAGTTCTGTTTCTCCAAAGTACCTAGTCTTATTTGCAAGGCCATCCTTCGAAACTTGTTTCTAGTTCCCTTTCTCTCTCAACAATCTCTGCCTATTTTATGTATTTTATGGCATTTCTAAGCCAGCATTTCTTATCTCAAGGTTTGCACACAGATGCACACGATGAGAGCCTTCTCTCAGGCCCTGGGAACTCTCCACAAATCCATTTCCCACAGTCCCCCATCCATCCCAGCTGAAATCCTCCACGAAACCTCTCCACAACTCCTTGTTGGACAATTCCCTTTTCCTGGCCAGGAGATGGGGCAGCTGAGAGTCGTTTTGAAAACTTTTCTTCCATTTTTAGTGTCGTGACAAGGGTGAGACAACACAGATGTTACTATTCACGCCATCACAATCAGAAGCTATTTCCTAATTATAATACAGTTATAAATTATAATACATTATATAACTTTCTACAAATCCATTTCCCACAACGCCTGTTCTTGCCCCTTTAGCAGTGCTGCCCCCAAACAGCCACCCCACATTAACCCCATCCTCACCTCCCCCTGAAATATTTTTAGTTTACTTAAGCATTTATATTTTAGCTTGTAGAGTTATGTGTAAAATTTTAACTTTTTAAGTAAGAAATCTCTACTATGAGTTAAAAGCTAAAAGAAGTGTAAATTTCTAAAACTTCCTACATAAATAAACAGTACTTAGGGATACAGGAAATCTAAATAAGAACACTCATATATCTCCCCAGTTATCAAATATACACAAATAAGCACCAAAAAACTGGAAACACGTACACAGAGTTCAAAAATTCAGTCATAAAGAAGACTATGATCTTCAGCCCAAAACCACCAAGAGACCACCACATTAAAACCACACATGCCCAGAAAAGCGCAGACGTAATTAGCATGAAAAGCGAAGGCAAGTAGAACCAAGAGTTAAATATGCATTAAAAAATAGTGCAATGTGCTGCGTATAAAACACCTTTAAGAATAAAAGTTTAAGTCAGATCAGAGCTCAAAGCACAAGTCTTAGAGAGGCATCTCACTTGTACCAAGCACTGACAATCCATACCCTCTTCACAACTACCCTAAGCTGTAGAGCCGATTTATTCTGTGTATTCCTTCACCCCCCCAGCTTGAAGGCCGTGCTGATGGGGAAGCCCCAGGACAACACCGTGGACTTGTCAGGCATCCCCCTGACCCTGAAGGACGTGGAGAGGGTCACGTCCTACCTGGAGCACAGCTCGGAGCACATCGACACGGTGGAGCTGTGCTTCACCGAGCTGACGGACGAGCTGCTGCTGCAGCTGCTGCCCGCGCTCTGCTGCCTGCCCCGCCTCACCACGCTGGCCCTCAACGGCAACCGCCTCACCAAGGCCATCCTCAGGGACCTCACCGAGACCCTCAAGGACCCCAACAAGTTCCCCAGCGTCACCTGGATCGACCTGGGCAACAACGTGGATATCTTCTCGCTGCCCCAACCCTTCTTGGTCAGCCTGAAGAGGCGATGCCCCAAGCAGGGTAATCTGCCCACCATCCTGGAGTTTGGGGAGGGGCAGGTCAGTGATGTGGAGGGGCAGGAGGGGCTGGGGGACAGCCAGGAGGAGCTGAGGGCTGTGCCAGGCCAGGCCGGCAGCACGGACCGCGAGCGCACGGACGCGACAGCCGAGGCTGGCGAGCTCCCCGGCCCAGAGCGAGGTGCTGCCACACCACAGACATGATGTCCAGCCCTTGGGTGGGCACCTTGAGCAAGGATGACTTCAAACCTCAGAGCTGGGGGCGTCTGTTCCCACTCCTGGGTGCTCCAAGAGTCCCAGCTGCTGCCTTCCCCCTGTGCCACGAATGTCGGTGATTTTCTTCTTGAAGAACACGTAAAAGCGATCACGTAGAGTGTTTGTATTTTCTAACAGCTGGCCAGGTGTTTTGAAGCATTAGTGGTGTGCTGTGCTTTTGGCTCTCTCAGAAATGCGACTCCGAGGGGCTGCAAGACCTCAGAAGGGCAAGAGAAAGGAGCAGGGAGGTGTCCAGGCTGTGCAGGGAAGGGCTTCCCTTCCTCAGTGCTGGATCTCAGCTGCTCCCCACGTGTCATGGACAGACAGCAGCCACCCCAAAGGGACCTGCCTGGGATAATCCTTCAATCCTTCCCACTCCTGACTTCAGAAATCCCTGGTGAGAGGCATGGCTGCTGAGAAACAACATAAACCTGCTCCCACACACACCAGGGGTGAAAAACCTGTTCCCACAAAAACCAGGGGTGGAAAAACCTGCTCCCACAAAAACAGGGGTCAGAAACCTGCTCCCACACAAACCAGGGGTGGAAAAACCTGCTCACACACACATCAGGGATGAAAAACCTGCTCCCACACAAACCAGGGGTCAGAAACCTGCTCACACACACACCAGGGATGAAAAACCTGCTCCCACACAAACCAGGGGTCAGAAACCTGCTCACACACAAAGCAGGGGTGAAAAACCTGCTCCCACACAAACCAGGGGTGTTCCTGTCAGTATGGTGAGCCCAGCCCAGCTTTGTTTTCCTGGGGCAGGGTTAAATCCCAGCCTGCAGCGTGCCTGGACACCACCCTCACCTCCAGCCTTACCAAAAGCAGGCTGGCAACTGTGCCTGCCCAGGATTTATCCAGTAAAACCCAGTTTCCCACCAAATGTAAAAACTCCTGAGCTTTTAATGGCAGTATCTGATCCATTCTGGGAGGGACATACAAATCCTGGAGTCAGGGCTCAGGAGCATCACTGACAAAAAGAAACCATGGTACTGAAGGGTTAAAAAAGGTAAAGCAAGCCTGGGGTTCATCCCCTCTGTCACTGCCACACAGCCAGCTGGGATTTAAAGCCCCAGAAAACCTTGGGCTCACTTGGCCATGGCTGTTGCCCCCTGGACCAGAAGTGCTTTGTTCCTAAAACGTTCCAGGTTTTTTTCTAAGACAGAGATTTGGGTTTATTTTTGGTGGGACATGGATCACCCCAGAGCAGCAGTGCTGGAATGTGTACTTGGGCTTTTTGGAACCAGAACTTCACTGGATCCCAAACCTGGGGGAGGGCAGGAAAGGGGAAAACTTCCTCTCCTTGGTGTTCCAAGGAGCAGAGCTGACTCCTCTGCAGAGGGAGCCTCCTTACCCCAAGCCCTTCCCCTGAGCAGCTCCCAGCAGTGACTCCAGCTTGGCTTTTTTTGGGTGCAAACAGACTTTTGGTCCCATTGCTCTGTCCATTTTTCCAGAGGGGCTTCAGGCTGCCAGTGGTTGTTTGCCCTCCATTTGCAAGAAGGTAATTTAGAAAAAACTCTGCTACTTTTAATACATTTGGCAACAGTCAGTATGATTTGCATGTATCCAAGCCTTTTTTTCCTTTTTTTTTTTTTTTTAATTCTAACTCTTTCCAAAAGGCATAAAAAAAAAACCAAACTTTCCAGTGAATATGGAATATTTCTGTTTGAAATAAAGGAGCTATCCATAAACAAAATAAATGATAATGTTTAATAAAGACCCAGTGTTGAATTTTTCCTCTGTCCAGGTTAAATGCCCAGGAAAAAGCAGAGGACAAAGTGCTGAGAGCTGCTGGTCTGGCTTCTTCAGGGGGCTGGAGAAACAAAGAGCTCAGTTTATGGGCTGCATTTATCAGGGTGGGCATAAGGTGGACACAGAAGTATCATAAAAGAATATTTTAAATATTGCCAGTGTGTAAAATAATGTGGGAGAAAGGAATGCTGAGAGTGGGGTAGTGCTCCACAGGGTGTTTATCTCCTGAAGGAATAAAGGCTGTTTATTTGCAGCAGGGGCTCTGTGTCAGCAGCAAACTATGGGGGCCAAGGAGTTGGGGGAACATAGAGGGATTTAATCAAGAACAAGATTTCTCTTTGCAGAGAAAAAGAAACTGCAGCAATTTCTTCTTTCTACCCAGGTGCCTCAGTACTGGGCTCTCCTCATGCACAGCTCAAGCCCCTCTGCCTGTTTAAATTATTTCAACCACAAGCTCGGTGCTGCAAGGTTTTTATTCCCTGCTGAGTATTTGCACAGGACCCAGGGCCTGAGGAGCTGCCCGGACCCCCCAATTCACAAATTCACAAACCAGAGGCACTTTGCATTTAGAGCAAGCTCTGCATCCTTTATTCCTGCTCAGCTCCATTCCCTCACAGACAAAAACCACCCAGGAGCTGCTCCTGCCAACATTTCCCCTCCAGCTCAGCTTCCACCTGCTGGGAAACACATCAGCCATGGAGAAATAATTTCCATATCTCCAAAGGGAGATCCCACAGCCTTTGCCCTGTGCAGGTGTTGCACTGCTTGAGCCACCTCTGTTCCACTGGTACTGACAAAATCCCTGTGCCCAGTGAGGATTTAGCCTTTCTGAGAAAGAGCTGGAAAGGGATTTTTATCAATATATCCGTGCATGCTGGAGGATGCACCAAATTACTTCCATGGAAAAAGGGAACAACAACAACAAAAAAAAGCAGAGCTGTTGTGGAGAGTTGGTTATAAAAGCTTTGGCTCATCAGTGCCTCCCTCACAGTGTGGATTAGTTCAATTATCCATTTAGTGCACTTCAGGATAATGATGATCCTGTGGGCTCAGCACAGGGTGGGGTTTGGTTGAGGTTTTTTTTTTTCGAAGGCAGAGTGAGATGCTTCCTTTCCCAGCTCATCAACATCAAAACAAGCTCAGGGCTCACTCCACATATAATCAATGTTCCCTGGGCTGCTCTGGGCTGCTGCTTTGGGTCAGAAGCTTTTAACTGGCCTTACATGCAGGATTCAAGGACTGAAAATCACTGCTGTTAGAATATGAAAGCAGGATGAGGTCATTTCTTGACAAGGAGAGGAGGAAAGGGCCACCATAAAATAAATAAAGCATAAAAAGCCTCAGCCTGGCTTGGTTGGTTCTCTCCCCACCAGCACCACAATTCTGCCTGGGCATCAAGCAAACCAGCCTGGGGAGGAGATTTATGGCCTCAGCAACAAAAATGTAATTGGAAATCATTGTGTGCAGATTGAGGAGCCCACAGCAAGGGGAATGGAAACAGCAGGGAGGGAATGAGAGAGGGGTGAGAGAGGGGTGAGGGCCATGGAAGGGCTGATTCCAGAGAGCTCCTGCCAGCTGGGTGATCTGGGAAGGGTTTGCAGAGGGAGACACAAAAATGCTGCTGGGGATGTCCAGAAGCACAAAATACTTGGGCCAAAAGCATTGCTGCTGCTCAGGGGCAGAAGTCAGCAAATGTCAACCCAAAATTGCCCAAACACCAAGCTTTCCCAGAGGAAGAGCCAAAAAGTGACCTAAAGGATTAAGGGGACACCACGAGAGGCAGCAGTGGCTGAGGCTGTCCCAGGCAGTGCCACCACGCTGGATTATCCCACCAAAACTGCCCCTGGAGAGGGGCAAAAACCCTCCAGGGCTCCATCACCAGCAGGAGGTTGTGAGCTCCTGCTCAGGAGCACTCCTGTCCTGGAAACACAAACACTCCTCTGCTCCATTAGCTGGGATCTGCCATTGCCAAGGAAACTAATTGACCTAATTAGCAGAATTCACATAACAAACTTAGGGAAAAGGGGTAAAAACAACTGACCCAACGTCTGCAGTGAAATGTTCCTTGGTGAGCAACAGATGAAATCTCCTCCCAACCTGCCTGGTACAAGGATGGCATCCTGTGATCCCACCTTTCCCTCACTCCAAGGGCAGTGGGGTTTCTGTGCCTGGGGGATGATTTCCACCAGCAGGCTCTACAGAGCAAGAGGAGAGGAGCTTTCCAGCTCTGTGAAATGTCTTTAACAGGAAATTCTGAAGGACAGAGCCATCCCTCACCGTGCTCTGACTGCCTCCAGCCTCACTTCCTAGGGGGGCCCAGCTCCAGGCACATTAACATTGATTAATTACCATGAATAAATGGAAGGATATCCCCAGGCTGGACAAGGCTTGGAACAACCTGGATTAGTGTCCCTGCCCACAGCAGAACATTGGAATGAAATGGGCTTTATTTCCCCTCTGACCCAAACCATTGTGGGATCTGTTTCTGTAACACGTTAGCACAGGGTTTGTTCTCAAGGCGGAACACAAGAGCTTTGCTCACTGCAGGAATCCTGATCCCAGGCTGGCACTGCAGGAAAGGTATTTAGGAATAAAATGTCATTTTTGATGTGCCAACTCCATCAGCCCATGGCTCAGTTACCCCTGAAGGATGAGGAATTGGAGGGGCTTTATTTGCAGTCCCTTCTGCTGGCAGTCCTGGGTGTGCATTTTTTATCCCACTTTTTTTATCCCCCTATTTTTTATCCCTTCTTATCCCCCCTCTGTAAATCCACAGAGACACAGCTGGTTTTACCTTCAGCTCAGCTGATGGGTTAACATAAAATTGAAGACCTGATTTGATAGAGTCAGAAAAGATGCAACCTGTTCACCACAGCCTTTAATTATGTGTGCAGTTTGCTGAGTTTTCTTAGCTGCTAATAGCTTATTGATCCTGTGGCTTCTGGACCTTCTTTCTTTTTTGCTGTTTTATTAACTCAACCTGAGGAAAAAATAAACCTGTGGGCTGGTTTTCATCCAGGAGGTTGTGATGAGCAATCCCAGCCTTCAGTGAGTGCACGTGGCAGCTCTCAGGGAGCTCTAATTGGAAGGACAAATAGAATGGAGGTTTACAAAAGAGGAGAGAAGTATTAATATATAATTCACTGAAGGTTTGGCCTGGGCATTTATCACTGGATTTTCAAGGTATTCCTAGTTCTCCCTGTCAGCTCTGTCCTTCTCCAGGGAAAACCAGGGTTCCTCTGGCTCTGGGCAAGAACCTGGGGAGGTGCTTTGTGATCAGGATTTTGCAAACAGCACTCACAGCCATCCCAAACACAATCTACATAATTAAAACCTCAAAGCATCTTCCTACAGGCCCAAATTCCTCGCATAGACATCCAGAGACTCAGGGATGGATG